CGAGTCACTTCCTCTGCGCTGTTCGCTGCGCTCAGGCGACTTCCTACTGTGACGGATTCCGCTATGGGCCCGGTCGCCTTTGCACGCTCTTTTTCCACCCACAGCATTGTCTCGTGCCTGGTGTGGCGCCCACAACCTCTGCAGTCTCCGAACCAGGTGACGAGGCGCGCACCTACATCCGCCGAGCGCTGACGCGGGTCACCAGCTACTGCGAGCCGAGCTGGATCGCCTTCAACGGGAGCTGCTACCGACGGATGGAGGGCCCTATTCAGTCAAGAGGAAAATGGAACCAGGGATGTCCGACACCTTGCTCTTTCCCGACATCGATTAACGGCGAGATGGAGTTGGCGTTCCTGCTGCACCATTCCAGCCGACCACAGGAATCTGAGTGGATCGGACCTATCCGGAAATCCAACACCATCACACACGGCACCAACCCGGACGGAAGCGACTTCGAGACCACGCTCGTCAGCGTGCGGCAGACCAGCAGTGGAAACTGCATCAGCCTGCCCGGGAGTTTGGTAACTACCGAAGTCCAGCGCGGATCGTGCGGCGCCCTGTACCAGGCCATTTGTGAGTATCAGGCCCATGTCGTCCCCTATCTCCCTGTGTGTCCAAGTGCACAGATGACGTCACACGAAGGGGCGGAGTCGGGGGCGGAGCCTGGCGCAACGGCCGCCATATTTGAATTTGTTTTATTAGAATGTATTCTATATTTTGGGTTTCAGTCAATTGTTATCGATAGTTTTATGAACGGAACGGTTAGCTGTAATATAAGTGATTTATCAAGAAAAACACATATTCTGCTTGCAAATTCGATTTAAGTACGACCCGCGCCTAGATTCGAACGCACAACCTTTGGATTACGGCGCAAGCATCCTAACCACTACACTACCGCGGCGGCGTGGTAGCCGGCGGAAGGGAGGCTGCGAAGGCATGGGGGCTTTTTTACGCATTTTTGGAAAAACTAATGGGTTTAGTGAAAAACGCTTCTTAGATAATTCGAAGAAAAATGTCTCGGCTTTCCGATGATGCACTTAGTTTTGTGCTAGCTTTAGCAGAGTTTGTTCTACAGCGCTTCAAAAATCGCCCATTTGCATAGGACTTAAACGGGACTTCAAGACTTGCCCCCAGATGACGTCACGAGCTGACGTCACGATTAGGTAGAATCGCCGGACGACCCTACCTGGTATATAGGGCCTTGGTGAGTATCGCCTGCCTAAGGGGCTCCGCACCGGATGTCCACACGGGTGGCTGCACATCACCAGCTACTGCTACCTGTTCCACACGACTCAGCTCGCCTTCTTAGAAGCCGACCAGCACTGCGCGAGCCTGGCGGCAGGCGCACACCTGGGGCTGCCCCAGGAGGCCGGCATGGCCAAGATCCTCAGGGTGTACGCCCTGGAGTCGGGCCACAGCGGCTCCTTCTGGATCGGGATCCAGAAGACCAGCGGCGTCTGGCAGAGTCCGAGTGGCGAGACGTGGCATCTGGATGGCTGGAGTCCGCCGAGCGCCTCCAGCGGCGCCTGTGTGAGTCTCAGCACGGCACAGGATGCACCCTCGGTGGTGGCGTGTAGTCAGCTGCTGGCTGGCCTGTGCCAGGCTCCCCAGCTGCAGATCACTCATCAGGAGTAGCCATCGGCTAATGGTAATCATCGGGAGTAGTTTTCCTTAATTAATACGCGCAGTGGAAGGGTTGCGAGTACTACGCCCCGTGGAAGGGGGCAGATGTCGCCCCCCCCCCTAAGATCTCAGCTCTTGCTGGAGCTAGAAAGACGAAATTTGGAGGGTAGGTGGGAACCCTGAGGAACTCTGTTGTGTGTGAATTTCGTGACCCTAGGTCAATATCTTATAGGCCAAGTGAGGTCAAATGTGGTCAAATCTGCCATATGAGCGGGGTGCCGTAGGTATCGTATGATGCCATATGATCGTAGGTGCCGTCAATTCCTGCTGAATCCTTGCTGAATCCCTGCTAACTTCCGTTACATGATTCAACCCAACCCAACCTAACATGCAAATGCATAACCCAACCTAACCCAACGTAACCCAACCCTTCCCAGCCTCACTTTCCTAACCCATAGATACTTTTGTCCGTACGTACTACGTACGTTATACCCGACGTACATTTGCCATGCGTACTTTTGTCATACGTACATTTGCTGACGTACATTTGCCATATGTACTATGTAGGTACTTTTGCGATGCGTTCTTTTGTCTGCAACCCCAGGTGAATATCCTCAGTGATCCAGAACGCCTACCAAGGACAGCTACACGAACCTCTGGTTTAGATAATATCCGAAAGATGTCGCAGCAACGTAGTGTGTAGTGTGTACGGTCTGGTACGGTCCCACAGTTCTGCTTTATCCTGAGTTCCATCCAAGTCTGCAAGCATTTATGATAAAAAGTAGAACTAGAAATACGAAGGCTTGTTAAGCTGCTACAAACTAAACAGGTCTAGATACTATACTCAACCATTGATCTGTGCATTCAATATTTCTATACAACTTTTCTCAGTAGGGGTCAGGGCATATTTTAAGGCACTTACTGCGTCCCATTCTGGGACGCAGCCCCCTCGCCTTGGGACGTAGCCCCTGCTGATTTGACCCACTGCGTCCCTGCCCTGTGCCCTGTCCGGTTCCCTAAACTGTGCCCTGCTGTGTGCCCTGACCTGTACCCTTCCCTCTAAAATGTCCTGTGCCATGCCCTGTAACCTGTCGTGCCCTACTTTCTGCCCTCCTCAGTGCCCTACTCTGTTCCTTGCCCTGTGCCCTTAGTCGTAGCACGTGCCCTCTGCTCAACTTTGGGACGCAGTAAAAATGTGTTAAATATGTTAAAAAGTGTGTTAAATATGCCCTGGTAGGGGTTGGTATGCACCTGCACGCGCAACAAAATGTAGCAAAATAATTCAAAATATCCAATAATTAGAAGGATCACTTGATAGCGTCCGCTCCCCGAATGCCTGTGTGATTCGTGACCGAGTGTTGCGATTAGTAGACGTTGTGTTTGTCATTATGAGCACGTACGTCGGTGATCAAGCTGTTGTTGGCTGTAACTGGAAAAGCTTAGTGCGCTGTTGCCGTGTGCTGCTATTTGTTTATGCCCGGCCTAGGCTATGAACTGATTGGCACAGTAAGCACATCACGTGACAAATATTACCGGCTTGAGTGGAGTGCATACAAAAAGGGAGCCCAATTCGCCTTAGTCGACGGTTTGTAAATATGCTGAATAGTTACGAAGACCTGCATACTGTGTGGTGCATGTGTACAATACCAGGACAGCTACACATTCGTTTGTGACAGTCAATATACGATGAAATTCTAAGCGCTAGCATCATTTTGCTTAACCCGCGACCCGTTGAGGGGGGGGGGGGCAAAGGGCCCCCTGTGTTTTTTCGGAAATAACTCCAAGTGGCATACTGTTAAGTACTGTGGTTTCAAAGCACAAAAGTGATAGAACGAAGCGGATATCTCCAGTATTTTCCGAATTGAATATTTTCCCAAAGGCTTAACATTACGACGCAATGACCTCTACCTGACCTCAGGTCAGTGACATAAAAAACTCAACTATATGTTATACAGCTCGGTGAACGTAGCACATCCTGCAAGTTTGAATGAAATCAGTCCAAAACTGTGAGTTGGACAGGTGCATAAAGAAAATTGAAATTTGACCATGACTTTATACCGGTTTTCTGAGCTGGTGACCTGACCCAAGGTCACCCGGACCTGAAAGTTTCAGGTCATATGTAAAAGGGCTGCCCCATAGGATGTGCCACATTTGCCGGCGCTGCGCGCCGCCGTTTTTGCGCTATCTTTGAAAAACCTTATGGGGGGTTGCACCAACCCCCTGCCAGGGCGAGGGTTAGGCATTTCGACCATTCTTAAGACTTAAGTTGTTCTGTAGTTGTGCTCAACTTTTAAAGTACAGTTAAGCAAGCAAAAAAGTATATCATTCGACGCGCCTTGACGTGTTGAGCACGGTGGTGATTTTTTTTTGCTCACTTAATCAGTAAAAATTTGAAAAGCAAAAAAACTATGAAGCGGTTACAATGGAAATCAGATGGAATAGTAACCTTTTGCTCATAACTAAAGTAAGCCAAAAACAAATCCAATTTGTTTCCAACAAATCTGGATTTGTTTTTGGCTTACTTTAGTTATGAGCAAAAGGTTACTATTCCATCTGATTTCCATTATAATCATAATCATGCTCAAAAAAACGTTTCACACCATTCAAACATTTGAAGCGGTTACGGCGAATTTTTACATTTTACCCCGAAAACCTCCCTGAATATTAACTTAGAGTCACCAAATTTGCACAGGGGCGAGGATTCCGGGGGGCACACCTACCTACCAAATTTGTTGTTTCTAGGTGCTATAGGAGCCGATCGCAAGGGGGGGGGGGTTGCATCGACCCCCTTGCCTGGCTGCGTTATGAAAAATGCCATGCCAGGGCGAGAATGAAACGGCCGTTTTCCGCAGCTGAGCCTCAGAAAGTGCTGCTGAATCCTTTCCAAGAAGATTTTATTTGATTGGACGCTGTTGTCGAAGCAATTTTCTGGGGTCGCATAGGTAAGAGTAAGCTCATTTGATCGAATTTCGAAAAAGAAAAGAAAAACAAGCCAGTTCTACGAGAAAATTGAAATTTTTACAATTAGTTGTAATGGGAACAGTTAAGGTATTTGAAAATATACATAATACAAGCATGATTTTTCTCGATATGATATTGAATACGAAAAGTGCCGAAAAAGTACTTTATTGCTAGAATAAGTTTTCTAGATAAGTTTTCTATAAGCTAGAACAAACTGTCTAGCAATAAATCATTTTTCGGCACTTTTCGTATTCAATATCGAGGAAAGGTCATTCATGTAGGTATATTTTCAAATAACTATCATAATGCTCCTCGCACAAGCCCTTAACTCTATTAATAATTTTGGGAACAGCTTACTTAAAAAGCCTTCTTAGCTAAAGCACCCCGAGCATTAAAAACACACTTCTTAGGTTAGCGTTTATTTATCTTTGTGACATTATGTATTCATTTCTTTACATTCCGTTTTCACCATTTTCCAAGTTTTCTTCCTGCATTTCTTCCTTCACGACAAAAACTGGATCAACCACGCTCACCCTAACAATGTCACTGGCTCCCTCGCATCCCGGCAGACTCTCAGACACCGCGGTATTTACGTATCCCCTCAACGCTCTTTCGCATCTCACCCCTTCAACTCCCCTTTTCACTGTGTTCTTTTCACGAGAGGACCGAAGCGACTGCCTTGAGCACCTCCTCTTGGCGGAGTAGCGCGACAGCTCGCGCTCGACGTCCCGCCTCACGCGCTGTGTCAGCGTGAACGAGACGAAGATGAAGACGCCCTGCAGTGTGTCGAGGACGATGAAGATGTACCAGAGCGGCGGGAAGTGCAGCCAGCCGGCGACCAGGCCGATCACCCACGACATGCCCGTGATCAGTGCCAGCCGCGTGTACAGCCGCAGGTTCGTCTGCGAGACGAGACGGAAAGTTAGGCATAGACTCCAATTGAATCAAAGTTGGCACCGGCAAATCCATGGATAGCAAAATGTGACAGTAGCATTTCCTAGAGCTTGATTCTTGAAACAGCATGATAAAACGTGTTCTTTCCTAGCAAATATGTAAAAAAAAATACCATGTTCCCTGATATCGTTGTAATAATCGTTGAAGGCCAATTACCACCACGGCTTAATTTTTGCTGAGAGAAAAGCAATGCAAATAATTTTATGGCAGAAAGACACCACCGAACCCTCATTATCGCTGGAGTTGATATTTATTTATTTTATTTTATTTTCACATTATAACCGTCCGTTCCATCCTGAGATGGCTATTCTCGGCAGTCGTGTCAATATGGCAGAGATAGGGTTCACACATCACACAGACACATACACGCACACGAAGCATACCAATATGTGCCATACGGTGCAAGCGATAAAATAACACATCACATACGGATACGTTTCGAAATCCTAATCATCGCCATACTGCTCCCTGAGCAGCCGCGCGCGGTACTCCTTCTTAAATCTCAACAGATTCAGATCGCGAACTGACGCCGGCAGCCTGTTGAACATATCCACTGCGGAGTAAAGAAACCGGCGGCGGCCGGCCTCCGTTCGGATCATCGGAACCTGGAGATTGTCAGCCTGTCGTGTGCTACGGCCGTGTAAGCCACAGCGAGACGTGATCCTGTCACGCAGAAACTCGGGCTGCCCTGTGGTCAGCATCTTCTTCAGCAGCATGACCGACTGGAATCGCCACATGTTCTCTGCTGAGAGCCATTGCAGATCCCTCATGACGTCGCTGATATGGTCGAACTTTCGGCGACCAGAGACGCCGCGAGCACCGAAGTTCAGCAACCGCTGGAGCCTTCTCATCTGCGTGATGCCACACACGCCGTACACGCTGATGGCGTATCGGACCGCAGACACAGCGAGAGCCTGCACCAGAGTCACGAGCGTGTCTCTGGGCAGACAGTGCCTGCTGTGGCACAGACCACTCAGCACTCCCGTGCAACGGCGCACCACATCACTGACGTGCACGTCAAATGACAGGGTAGCATCAAATGTGACGCCAAGGTTCTTGGCCGTAGGCGACGGCACCACGGTGGCATTCATGAATTGGACAGAGATGGCTGGGAGCTGGCGGACGCTCTGACGCCTTCCCACAACCATGAGCTGGGTCTTGTCAGCGTTCAATTTGAGACCATTCTTGCGAAGCCAGTCTCCGAGTGCCGCTAAATTATGCTCCATGCACGCCATGATATGACACCTAACTACAAGTTGAGCAGTTCTTCGAACTTCTGTTCGTAATACAATATGTACGAGCTATTATAAATTAAACCACACCTGATACACGAGTTCCAATGCGAGGGAAGCCCTGCTTACCTTTGACGAAGCGGTGTTGACTGTCGCCTGCGACGTTCTTCGGATGATGATGGCACTTCCGCAAAAGAGCGCCACGTTCACCACCATAAGGGCGACGAGTGGCGCAGCGAAGAACATCATCATGGCCTTGGGCCGGCTGAACCAGCAGACCCGGTCGCCGAAGCCGGGCCGGTACGGGTCCGAGGGGTCTCTGAGGAGATCCACGGAGACGGCCGACACGACCAGGGCCCCGGTAGTGAGCAGGACGTACAGACAGTAGAACAGGAACCGCCGCGGTCGGCCGCCGCTGGAGACACGGAGCTCTGTCGCGGAACGCCTGAGGGCGAGAATGGGTAGCTTTGAAGGATTAATTCGGTTTATTCGAAGTTAAACATGCGTTTAATGTCATATTTACGAGTTTGGGTGCTGCAAATGCAGATGCTCCTGAGTTCTGACTCCTGAGCAGCATGGGAAAATATGGATAAGATCAAGGCACGCTACAAGATGTTATTTGGAAGATAAAGTGCGGCGGTAGCTTACTGATATTTAGAACATAAAATTTACCTGAAAAAATGAAACTTCCTTGAGGTCAAGCAGTAGTACTCAGTACACGTGTACGTACAATACTTCAAGGAGCAAGAAAGAAGTACCGAATTATATGTAGATGCAAACAAACCTCAATGTGGTGAAAACGTCGAAAGCCATGACGTTGGTCCAGAGCAAGGAGGCAATAAATGCGATGTAGATGATGATAGCAAGAGCGCGGCAGCTGCTACTGCCCACTTCCGGAAAAGGACCAGCCAGGAGGCACGTGTACGATAACAACAGTGCGACACAGAACGAGGCCAGATTCTTTCCGGGGAGGTTTCGGAGTTTCGGCACCAAGCAGAACGCCGCCAGATGGAGGCACAGGCACAACATGGAGGCGGACACGAAGACGAGCGCGATGATGGAGATTGTGTCGCCGATTTTACCAAAGCCGGCAATTTTTGAGCAGACGGCAACGTTCTCTCCAATGTGTTCGTACTCGTCAGGACTGTAATGCCTGTCTTGAGAGATGGCGTACACAGTTCCGTCGTCATGCAACTCGAACTCATCAGCAAACAGCAAGTACTTGACGCAAGGCACTTGGTGTTTGCGTTTGGTGGCATCATTCAAAGTCTTATTGTCCTTAGCTTGAGCTGTGGAATCAAGTAGGACATTGGTGAACTCAGAAGCGTCTACGCCACTTGATAGCTTCATTTTATGAATGCAGTCGCGATACTTGAGAGAGAACCCATTCCGAAACGAAGTATCATTACAAGGAACGGTTGTGAAGGAATCATGCTCGTATCTTATGTTTGTGTTGAGCACCAATAAAAGTGTCGTGGAACTGGTTTCCTCCCTGTCTTCAGTCTCACTTTCGTCAACTCTGACACTCTCCGGCGTTCCAATATTTCCACAAAGAGCACAGCATGACCTTTCGAGGACCTGTGTTCCCTTTTCTTGCACTCTACTTGAGTTTCCACACTTATTAGCAAGTATTGTACAAGTCCACTGAAGCTTCAGCATTTCAGAATCTGCCCTGATTCGCACAGAATCTGAAGCTCCAGACAGACATGCCTCCACAGCACCTTGCATCTTCTGTGGGATGGCCGTGACGACTTTGCAGTGATAGAGTTGCTGCCGTTCGCCCTCGGCTTGAGCCACATGACCTCGGGTATCATTATCCCCGAGTGCTGCTACTACACCACGTCCCTCTGCGCGAACACACAACGCACTCGGCTCGTTCTGGTGAGACTCTTCACTCTGCGGACGTGTCGGTTGATAAGTCACAACACAATCTTTAACAGAAATGGCCTCAAACTCGTAACTCCCACCTTCAGCTTCTGTACCAGCAGGCCTGTTCATCTGGCATCGAGACGTGAAACACACTTTGAAGTAGTCCGACTCCGAGATATCCTCACAGTAACCACCAGAGATATGGAAGCTGCTATTGTTCTCAAGATCATGGTAATATGGTTCCAGTACAAAGCAGTTTGTATCGCACGAGCTGCTTGCGATGAGCGTGCCGTTCGTCGCCACGTGATCGATCTCACGACAGCATAAGTAGTCTTCAATTGAGGTGGCGTTGCACAAAAGCACTTCCTGAGATACAGCAGTGACAGCTTCAGCTATGGAAGCCGAGCTAGGGGAGCTGTGGGTTATGTTTCCGCACACGACCAGAACGACGCACATCGCGAAGACGGCCGCAGATACGGCAGACCGTGTCGCTAGTGTAGTCCGTTTCGCCATCTTCGTTCGGTCGGTCGCACAGGCATCCGCTCCCAGATGGCCTTCGAGGAGAGATCCGATTCAGCGGCGCCCACCGTGATGTCACCTCACTGTCAACTCATGCTGAGAAGGCACTTTGATCGTGAGTGTCGACCATCTTGTCTCGCTGGACTTAGAAATCTTCATGCGTTCGTTTTCCGAACATCTTTAATTTGTATCGATGTATAAGCACATTGCATAACGAAAAGCACATAATGCATCCCCAACTCCGGCACTTCTAACACTGAATACTGAAGCAGAGCTGCTTTTCCACGGCACACACGGTGGTAACGGATGCTTTTCTCGCAGAGTCTGATCTGTAGCACCGTAACCTTCCTCGCGCACGGGACCACTACACGTCGCTGGCGGAGAGCCGACTCCGCAGCCTCATCCACCGGCGACTCCTCTATGACTGGAAGAAAACATGTACGAGCGACCACCTCAGCATGACGTCACCCCTATAGCTCAGGGTGAAACCGGGCGCCCTCGCAGGTCAGCAGAATTGCTGAGTCACGCGTGTCAACGTCTGCCCAGCGCGGCGCGGGTTCGGCTCGGCGAGGTGCCTGTTTACACGGGCGGGAGACAGGGCCGCGAACTTTGCTTTACGACTCAGACTGGAACCTATTTCGCATAGCCGGTATGCTGAAGAATATGATATGAGCTATTGTCGCTTGGATCGTGAGACTCTAGGATTTTAAACATGCCGTTATAAAAAGTGGGTGCTGAGTTTGAGTCTTTTTAAACTTGTTATGCTGCTTTTTAAGGTTCTAATGAAAAGGTTCTGGTTGTCATTAAACTGAGGAATCAGACAAAGCTTGGAAGTGAAGTGGCTGACTCACGTTCCACGTATTCAAATAGGACATGATTTTCATGAGGTATTAGGTTTCTGTCTAAAGACTGAGACGCTTGTGAATGAATCTGACGCTTATGCTGCAACTTCCTGCTGAAACTCGAAATGAGTGCTATTGACAAAATAAGGGTGTTGCTGACTCAGATAAAGTCAAAGTTTTGAATTAACACATCACAAGATGCAATAACTAAGTCCTTGAACAACAAATACAAGCAGTAAGCAATAAGAACTGGAGCCCTGTGGCGTGGCTGGTGCTAGTGCCACCGTGTGAATTGTGTTCAGTACGGAGACTGCAACGCTGGGCGCCGCTGAAAATGTCAAAATCGATTCGGCCGGTGCCACTCGATTTTCTCTATAATAAAAAGGTATCACATAATTTCCTTAGGCACATGGAGAAGGAAGATCAGTGTAATTGCTTTATTATTTTCCAGCGACTTACTCTAAATTAAACAAGTCACGCCGAGACTGATATGCAATGGTACTGTTTCAGTTTTTCAGGTGCACCACTAATGTTAAAAATGACCTTAGCTATTTATGAATGCACTGACATTACAAGCTTTACAAGGCGTAATATTACAAGACATTGCAAGACATGGCATTTACAGAGTTAGAGCTGTCCTTATCTCCACAGCAAACTATATTCAATAAATGCACTGCCCATTGCCCAAGTTTGTCTAGTTATGTATAAAACAACCGTGTAGGCTTATAACTTGCAGCGTCGCTAAAAGATTCATTTTCACTTACCACTAAACTTACAAAAAAAAATTCATACACACAATAAAATCAAATTAAAAAAGAATACAGCTTATCAAGGTCGTTAAACTCTTCCAGACATGTAAAGAGAGGTCGCGGAAGCAATTGTCCCACAAACAAGCAGCTACTAAATATTGCATGCAATTTGCACCAACGCACTGTAAAATGTCGTTAGTGATTCAGCGGTGTTGTATCGAGCGACCCATGCAGCTGACGATAAGGCCCTCGGACTTCCTTGAACTGCAAGACCCTTGTCCGGCAAAAGCTTAAAAACGTTTCAGAGATGGTTGTACATAGGCTGTAGCTATAGGTTCATGGTGGTTATGACTGGTTAGTGCACATTCCTCTGCACACCTTGGTTGGTATGACTTAGGGTGTACGTACACACTCTCTTGAAAGTACCGCGCATTGGTGCGGTGGATCCATCAAGCCCGACCGAGGTAAAGGGCTGCTAAATTTGTTTGAGAGTCACCAAACCAATGGACCTGGGGATGGATGAGGATATCAATCAGTTCGGCGTCTTTCAACTTTAGCAGCCCTTCGTCGGTCGAGTTGATGGATCCACCGCACCGACGTGCGGTAGGTACTTTCAAGAGTGACTGTACTGAGGTCATGGTTAGTGGTTACAGCCCAGGGCCCAGCTCATATGAAAACCTGTTGTAGTGTCACTTTTACAAAGTGTCAGTTACCTACTCAAAGGGACACTTCTGGGAATGTTGGTGAGGTGTGTAAGGATGGCTATATGAACCCACCTGTCGGGTCGCCCTTTCCAATGTGTGTCACTTGCAAAGCAGCTCTATATGAACTGGGAACAGGTGGCGAGGCTGGCAGGTCATCTGTAAGTCTTCGGCTTGCCAGTCTCGGAAGGTGAGATCGATTCTTAATTTCTTGCATGCATATTCGCTTTAAATGTCACAATTTATTGGTGTGCCTCCCCCCTCCCACCATAAGAGTCTAGCAATATCGCTGTAAGTATTTACATAGCTTAAAATTTTCCGTTATTGATTTACCAAGCTCACGTAGTTAGTTGCATGTATTTGGTTGCAGGGGCTGCGCCTCGATCTCAGGATTGGGGGTCCAACCCAAAAATTCACACCCTTACACATTACGTTGCATTACGGCATTGAAATCCTTGGGACTGTCCTAAACTCCGAGATCCCTTCCCCGTGACGGAGCCCCTGTTTTGTTGAAAGCTCCATTAACCCGCGGTCAAGGTCAGGTCACCAGGTCACTTGAAGTGACCTCACCTCATAAAAAGTTTCAATGTCTGCCATAGCTACACCGAGTGACCGATCACTTTGAAACTTTCAGCGATTGATGAGGGTAACAGTATTTTTAAAATGTTTATCTAGGAATTTCGATATCGGTGACCTAAGGTCAGATCAATTTTGCGGCCTCTCCATTATAAGTCAATGGGAGAAAATTGAAAAGCGTCTGTTTTG